TCGGATTTTTCACAGAAACTAGGTTCTTCTCCCGAAACTATTTTGGGAAGCCAAAAGAGTTTCGGGTCACATCATTGTACATGATATACCACTTAATATATCTGATCTGTGACGCACAGCTCATTCATGATCACTAAATCAGCTTCTTGTTATTATTTATTGTTTTGATCTTGTATTACAAACAACATTTTTTCTTCCCATCTAACAACAACGTCCCAATAATAATTAATTTTATTGATTTTTATCAAGTATTTATGCTTTGTTTTATATTTTATACTATTATTTTTGTTGATACTATTTATCATTCATATCCATCTGATCATTATTATAATAATTGTTTTTAAAAAAACAAAGTATCATGGGACTCTTTTTATCGACTACCAGGAACAAAGCCAAACAAGTCGACAATCACACAGTACTTATGTTTTATATTTTATATTTTGTATTTTATATTTTATATTTTATATTTTATGTTTTATATTTATATTTTATACTTTATTTTTGTTGATATTATTTATCTAATATTATTATGGGGGTTTTTTTTTTAAAAAAAAGGATGGGAACGAACGAATGAACGGACGGACGGACGGACGGATGGAAGGGGCGTTAATATACACTACTGACTAACTAAACCACGAATTGGGTAAAAATGTGATCTTACAATGAGTGGATTTACCAATATCACTCTACACAGTAATTTATTACTGTGGGATTGCAAAGGAAAGTTACTACACGTCATTACAACATTTAAATATAATTTAAATGATTCGAACTCCTCGTGAGGAGTTTGTAGCAGACCCTTATATGGTGCTGTAGTCAGTAGTGATTTCTGATCTTTTTTTATAAAAGAAATGATGACATTTAGCCAAACTTGATTTAATGAAAATATATATAATAATAATGGCAATTGGCGATGATGAACAAGGAAGATGGTTTGATACTTCTCTTTATAGTGAAATGTTATCAACTTCTAATGGCCTACTGTTATGATTTAGCAGTAAGGATCTGAGCCGATTATTCTTTTTATTATTTATTATAATTATCATTATGAGTAAATTAATAAACAAAAAATATTATATCATTATCAATTTTTTGAATGCATATTAGTCGTGTGACATCCCACATCAATTGATTTTTTATATGTTAAATTAAAATTTGAAATTCGTGCACATGAAGCTTTTTTTGCTAATTTTATAATAAACTCGAACTTCGTTGTTAGAGTAAAATGAAAGTACTTCATTAAAGCTTTCTAATGAATATACCTTTTCATACTGAAAGATACATAAATTCACGTCTATTCAAAAACGGTATTACTTTTTCATTTCAAAGCTCAGATTATTTCTCAATAACGCCTTTAAAAGACTTGATAAGCCTTCATATGGTTGTTACTTTATGGGGGCGTAGGTTAATAAGTTTTAGAAAGGTTCACGAAAAACTATTTTATAGAAATTTAATAGTCATGATCTCTTATTAATTTTTATTATTTATTTTATTTAGAAGGAAACATTTTAAAAAAAGAGATAAAATTAATTAATTGATTTTGATTGGGTTATATTTGTAATATCAATCAGTAATCGTTATAGCAATATTAAACAATAATATTAGTAGCAAGCGATGACAACGAATCATCATTTCTTGAGGATATTAAGATCCAGTTTGTATAGGAGTGATCGAAGTAAGTGTCAAGGACAATATCTATGAACAAAACATACTAACGAACGTTTTATCAATTATTCAATATTTGTGTAGGAGTGATCGAAGTGTCAAGAACAATATTTGTGAACAAAATATACTGACGAACGTTTTATCAATTATTCAATAGTTGTGTAGGAGTGATCGAAGTAAGTGTTAAGGACAAGATTTATGAACAAAACATACTAACAAACGTTCTATCAATTATTCAATAGTTGTATAGGAGTGATCGAAGTAAGCAATAAGGACAAGATCTATGAACAAACATACTAACAAACGTTTTATCAATTATTCAATAGTTGTATATATAGGAGTGATCGAAGTAAGCAATAAGGACAAGATTTATGAACAAAATATACTAACAAACGTTTTATCAATTATTCAATAGTTGTATAGGAGTGATTGAAGTAAGCGTTAAGGACAAGATTTATGAACAAAACATACTAACAAACGTTCTATCAATTATTCAATAGTTGTATAGGAGTGATTGAAGTAAGCATTAAGGACAAGATTTATGAACAAAACATACTAACAAACATTCTATCAATTATTCAATAGTTGTATAGGAGTGATTGAAGTAAGCATAAAGGAGATAACAGGGAATGAAAGTAAGCTCTTTTATCTGATTAATTTGTTTGGTCATATTTGTTGATTCGCTAAATTATTTTCATCCAATTTCCAAAGATGTTGGTTTTGATGAAGTTGATCTTGAAGAGGATTTTAATCCCGAAAAGTATGATGATAAAATGCAAAAAATATTTGATGAGGAATTCTATAATAAACAGGTAATTATCACACGGGTTTCCTAAATTGATATTTTCAATGAAATTAATTATAAATTGACTATTTAGGCAAGCGATGATGAATATTTGGATGAATATTATCAACTGAATTATGAGGATATAGTAAGTTTTATTGGCAGAGTTTTATTTAATTTATAAGAAAAATAACTAACCATTTTATATAGATTGATGATACTCCCGTAAGGTTTAAATACAATAAAGTCAAGTCAACATCATTTGGTTTGACACCCACAGAGATATTACTAGCAGATGAAAAAGATTTAAATGAATTCGTGTCTTTGAAAAAATATGCGCCGTAAGTATTGTTATTGTTTGAATGCTTATTAACGATTATAAACCATTTTTGTTTACATTAAATTTTTAAAATAAAGATATCGACCTGATAATGTTGTGGAAAAGGATTTAAAGAAATATTCAAAAAAGAAAAGGCTTCGAGAATTTCGTAAGAAAATCGAAAAAAAATAATTAATATATTTAATGAACACGTGCGATCTATACAGAACTCATTGCTTCTGAAACTTCGCCAGTATATAGTTGTTACCTCTCTAAATTGGAGATCAAGTTCAGATCCAATTCAAATCCAGTTTATCACTTACTTTTTATTGCTAGAATGTTTGCTGTGTATTGTAAAGCTACATTGCACAATATAAAAAATTAGTGTAACATTTCAAATTTCCACTATGCTGATGTGTACAGAATTTTGTATAACATTTATAGTTTTTGCCCCTTTGAATTCAGGAGAAAAAGGAGAAAAAAAATTTTTTGACGATGGATTTAAGAGTATGATAAACGAGTTTCTAATGCAAAAATAATTTTTTTTAAAGTGTACATTAATAATGCTTTCTTGGTGGAATATAAAAAAAAGAAAAGAAACAGATCATGAAAATCTTGCACATGCCGTTAAAGATATTATTTTAGGAATTGACCACAGTCATCATGCAAAAAGTAAAAAAAAGGAGGTAAGAAGACGTAAAAAAGCAGTTAAGGCATTACAAAATCATGTTACAGCTCAAAGAATGATATCAATTTTAAAAGCTATGCCAGAACCTGATTCACCTTTAGTGACTAGTATTGGTGTGGAAATTGATAAAAATGATAGCATCAAAAATTTATCTGGATCTGATACTACATCTTCTGCTACCATTCCTCTATCAAAAGATACAGTATATGTTAAAAATAAAGAAAATGATGAGAAGGAATTGATGTCTGGAAGTGAAGAAGAAGAAGGAGGAGAAGAAGAAGAAGAAGAAGATGATGATGATCAAACAAATATTGATGTGAATATTAATGAAAATGTTATTAATGTTAATAGTAAAGGAACAATCACTAAAACTAAGTTTTGATCATTCTTATTGGTCAATTTAACGATCAGCAAAGTAAAAACAGTCAATCGACCAACTTTTAAAGAAGATTTTACAAAAACCATAAGGACAACAACTGGATTTTTATTTATAGGTTAATCGGCTGAATCTCAAAGATAATTTTCGTATTAGAAAAGTGATGCCTCAGAAAAAAATTTTTATATCAGAAAAATTTTATCGGCTATCAATAGCCGATTAACCGTTTAGGGGATAATGTTTTGATGATATATATGTGTAACATTAAAAAATCCGCATATAATAAATTTCTATATTGACCTGAACTATGTTGGTTTATGTAAAAAATTTATTAATTTTTTATTATTATTATAGCATTTTGTGTTACAATTTTAATGTCCCTGTATTTTGTTGATCACTCCCCATTTTAATTTACATCGTTTATAATTTCTCTAAACTAAAATTAATACTTGTAGTGAGTTCAATGTAGGGGTGCCATTAACTCAAATTCGTCCATACCCCATATGTACTTGTGAAACTTGAATTTAAATTAATGTATTTAAATGTGTGCGATGTGTACAGCATAGTGGAAGTTTGTTGTTACACGAAACGTTATACAGAACTCATTGCTTCTGAAACTTCGCCAGTATATAGTTGTTACCTCTCTAAATTGGAGATCAAGTTCAGATCCAATTCAAATCCAGTTTATCACTTACTTTTTATTGCCAGAATGTTTGCTGTGTATTGTAAAGCTACATTGCACAATATAAAAAATTAGTGTAACATTTCAAATTTCCACTATGCTGATGTGTACAGAATTTTGTATAACATTTATAGTTTTTGCCCCTTTGAATTCAGGAGAAAAAGGAGAAAAAAAATTTTTTGACGATGGATTTAAGAGTATGATAAACGAGTTTCTAATGCAAAAATAATTTTTTTTAAAGTGTACATTAATAATGCTTTCTTGGTGGAATATAAAAAAAAGAAAAGAAACAGATCATGAAAATCTTGCACATGCCGTTAAAGATATTATTTTAGGAATTGACCACAGTCATCATGCAAAAAGTAAAAAAAAGGAGGTAAGAAGACGTAAAAAAGCAGTTAAGGCATTACAAAATCATGTTACAGCTCAAAGAATGATATCAATTTTAAAAGCTATGCCAGAACCTGATTCACCTTTAGTGACTAGTATTGGTGTGGAAATTGATAAAAATGATAGCATCAAAAATTTATCTGGATCTGATACTACATCTTCTGCTACCATTCCTCTATCAAAAGATACAGTATATGTTAAAAATAAAGAAAATGATGAGAAGGAATTGATGTCTGGAAGTGAAGAAGAAGAAGGAGGAGAAGAAGAAGAAGAAGAAGATGATGATGATCAAACAAATATTGATGTGAATATTAATGAAAATGTTATTAATGTTAATAGTAAAGGAACAATCACTAAAACTAGTTCTATTAAAGATGGATCAAAAATTGTTGTATCATCATCAACTTCAACAACAGATGTTACAATTACAACAACTATTAAAGCCAATTCATTGAAAACTAATTCAACTAATAAAGATAAAATTATCAAACCATCATTAAATACTATTTCGTGTTATGTTTATTGGTGGGGATATGAAGTTTATGTACCACAAAAATGTATGGGAAGATTAGATCAAGCACAAAATGTTAGTAATTCATTTTTAGGATTATTACATATTGTGGTAGGCAATTCATCTCCAATTTCACCATATTTTGGTTTAATTTCTGCATGGGTTGGTTTACAATTTACACTTATTAAATCAAAAACTGTTGATAATGGTGTTATAGTAATTATAAATTTATCTATTTATTGAATTAATTTATTTATTTATTTATGTATTAATATTATTAATATTATTGTATTATTATAATCATATAATGTAATGAATTAACATTTTTATTATTACTCATGTACTATAGAGTAAGCAATGTGTGATAATAATAGTAATAAATTATATATTTATTCATTTATTGATTGTCATGTGATTAATGCACAAATGACTTGATTTAGTAACAATTTTCTCGACTATTGATATTACTGAGCTATATTGCAAAAAGATTTGAGAAAATGGATCTTGATGACGAACCTGTTGAATTTAAAATCAATCATCAATATGCAAAAAAATACGAAATAAGGAAAAGAGGCGAAGAATTATCCAAATGTAAATTTAGTTAATCACTGATGCATCTTTGAGTTACTTGGA